TCATAACAGTTGGTATCAGAGCCACATTTTTCTCATTTGGTTTAACACCTAAGAGAAATAACTATTATCAGATTTCAAGATAGTCACTCTATCATTCATCCTCCTATATTCAATGGGATGGACTACACTTATTGAAAAACTCGGATGAGAGTTTTCTTGCATTCTTTGAACTTTGATTTATGGAATATCATTGAACTTGGTTTTTAAACCCCCTCTAAACATATGAATGAATGGAATGACTTCAAAAAAAAATTTATTTTTCTTGAATGCTAATGCGATGAATACTTTGTTTTGTGCCTTAGACAAAAACGAATTTAATCGGGTTTCTATTTACGAAATCGTGCATGACATTTGACACACTTTTGAAATCACACATGAAGGTACTAGTAGAGTTAAAGATTTGAAAATTAATCTTTTGATGCATGATTTTGAATTATTTGGAATGAAGTTTTGTGATCTCTTTCTAAAGTTCTTTTGAATTTTAAACTTGTTAATGAAGTTTTATAATCTCTTTCTAAACATTGGGATTCGAAAGTAACATCAATATAAGAGTCAAAGAACTTAAACAATTTTTCGATTGAATAACTTATTAGATCTTTGACATATGAAATGATGTGCAAGACATATGATAAACTTAATGAACATAAGAATAATATTCCAAAGAACAGGAAAGATTTGACACTTAGAACTCAAGAAGACCACTCGAGCAAAAGCTCGATGATGACTTTGAACTCTTAACAATAAAACTTAAAAAGTTCATAAAATAAGAATCAAAGAATAAAAATAAACTTTAAAAGAACACAAGTACTTGCTATGAACACAAGAAGTTGGGGCACTCTAAAAATGAGTATATAAAACTGAACAAGAAGTTGTCAAAGAAGAAGGAAGCACTCAAGGACAAATCAAGCGCATCCGAAGATGAGGAGTAAACCAACAAAGACAATGTGGCCTTTCACAATGAGGTATGTAACTCACCCGAAATGCATTTACTTTACTATGAAATTACTTAGTGCTTTTATGTTTTGATTAGTTTTAAAAATATATATTTTATCATGATAATTACATGTTTTATGATAAAGGGATAAAAATATTAAAATTAAATGTAATTCTTATACACCAAATAAGATTAGATTAATTCTATACTATGTTTTAAGAAATAATAATGTGTATCTTGATGTTTTTTATACTATTTTTTTTATTATAAATGATGATGCATGGCTTTTGTATGGAAGATTAAGCATGAAGAGTTAGATTCACTTAATCATTTTGATTGAAAATACTTTATGAATAATGAAATCATGCTTGATGATTTAATTATGCATGATAATTTGAAGTAATAATGATTTTTATGATTTATGGTTTATTGATCTTGATGATTTCTATGATGAAATTTGCTCTTTCAATTTTTAACAATGATGCATGTTTTAATTTGATGTAAAAAACTTGAGCATGCTTATATGAAATCAAATCACTTAAATTGAAACAAAAAGGGAAGAATGTACGTTTCTTGAAAATATCTCTAAAGTTTTTTTAATTTTTTAATAAGTAATTCTTAGTGATAAATCTATTTTATGTTATCTCTTAAATTAAGAAAAGTGATTTGTATGATAAGTTTGAAGTTGAAAAATTGAATTTGAATGAATAACTTCTTGAGCTATCTTTTATGAAAATTAAAATATTTTCTATCTTTTATGATTCATTCTTATCATTTACTAAATAAGAGATTTATGTAAAACATGTTATATGTTGAAGACTTGAAACCATGTTTTAGTATCATGCATACCCAAGTAATGCTAATTTGAAAATTTATTGATTTGATATCATGCCTAAAGTGATAACGATGATGAGTTGGTATTTCTTACAAGGAAATTTTATGGATTGAGATTTATTTTTTATCCAAATCATGGTCTTGATTTCTCGATATTTGATACTTAGATCTTTCTATGAATCAATATCTTGATTTGAACTCCCATGGTTCTTTTCGTTATTTGAGTCATCCAAAAAGAATCATAATTTTTCTCTTAATTTTTTGATATTCATAATTTAAAATTTGGTTTATGACTATCTTGTATTCATGAAGTGTATATCTCATTATCCAATTAATTTTTCTTGATATTCTTCATTTGATGATATGAAATTATGCATGAAATACTTATGATTTTTTGATGAATGGTAGGATGTAATATAATTTGACATTTTGATATCATCATGATTTAAAATTTTTATGATTTGGAATGATGCATGCAATACTTATGATTTTTTGATGAAATGATGTGAAAGTTAACAATTATCATTTTTTAAAATAATACCTTATTTCAATATGTCATATTGAAATAAGATTGATACTTTATCCTTGTGAAATTGATATACGGGGAAAAGAATTACAATATTATATTTTTCTCTTCTTTTTGACAATAACAAAAGGAGAGAAAAATTGCTAGCTTGTACATTTCAAAGCGAAGCAAAGAACTTGCTAGTTTGCACATTTCAAGGAGAAACACTTGTTAGAAAGCAAAATTGCTAGCATGCACTTCTCAAAAGAGAAGATAGAGCTTACTATCTTGAACATCACCAAGAATTGCTAGTTTACGATCTCAAGAGAAGCAAAAATGCTATCTTGCCTATCTCAAGAATCAAAACTTACAAACTTGCATATCTTAAAAATCTCAAGAAGCAAAACTTACAAACTTGCATATCTAAAAAAAAAGAAGTTAAACTTGCAAACATATGTTGCTAACTTATATGTTATAAAACTTATATATTTCAAAAACTTGCTAGATGCACTTCTTTTTTTTTTTTGTTGATGATAAAGGTGGAGAAGTAATGATGATAATTTGAATTATGTGTGGTATGATATATTTTTATATTTTAAAACATTATATAATTTTTTGAATTTAAATGTTCTATCAATACGATAGATTGATAGGGGAATGTTAACTCTATCATCAATTAGTTGTCACCATTAAAAAGGGGGAGATTGTTGAATCTTTGATTTTGATGATGAAACCAATTGATAATGTTATGATTTAATCTACGTTTTGAGTGATGCGGGATTAGCTTCGATCAAGAAATACAATTAAAGCAGGAGAAATCAATGTTAGGCCTGAGTGGAACATGTCAAAAGATTGGACGTCGAGCCGGAGGATCGGTCGACATGTCGACAAACGGTTTCGTGCCATGAGTTCGAGCATCGGGCCTAGAAAAGCATACATTGTACTAAGGAGATCGGAGTTGCGGAGGTCAACATGCCGATTAGGCAAAAGGCCACAAAAGAGGACGATGCGTTGAAAGATTGGATAAAACACCAAAGAACCAATGACATGCCGGACAACATGTGATTAATACTTTGTAATAATTATCTAGATCGAAGTAGTTTTAGTTGTAATTGGGTTGATTTAGAATATAATTAGACAAACTTAATTAGGGGCCAACTGGGCTCAAAGTGGGGTTATTTTGGGCTAAGAGAAAAGCATATTCAGTGACCCAAAAGTTGGGTCAAGCGATGCCGCTGCTAATGGCTCAATCTCCAAGACACAATCACCAAGACAATGTCAAGTGGTAGTACTGCCAGATTGAGCGATGGTACCACCAAATGTCAGACATTAGTACCGCTAGACTAGGCGGTGGTACCTAGTCTAGCGGTACCATCCAATGTCAATGCTACAAGCAGTGGTACCACCCAACACAGGCGATGATACCGCTAGAACCTAGGAAACCCGGAATGAGACCTTTTTTGTTTCAAATTTGGGATCTATGAATACCCCAGCTATTCTTGCATGGAAAAGTAAGAACTGACTTACTTGCTTACTGCTTTTACTATCTTACGAATGCTTTTAAGTTAAACTCATATTTGCGATATGAGTTTTTATCGAACGAAGTTTTTTAAATCATTGATTTTATCACTGTATTAATTCACCCACTCTCTTAGTGCTAACTCGATCTTAACAATTAGGAGAGTTCCTCACATCAAAGGCATCCCCTAAGAAATTTTATTTTAATATGAACTTTCTTTCTATTGATCAATATATATCATTAGAATCTAATTAATTCTATTATATATCTTATCAAATTATAAAAGATCACATAATCTAACAATCTCTTCTAAATCCTATTGACTCCACCGTCCATGTTGTTATTAAATTATCTAGTGGGTCTTTCTCGGACACCACATATAAATTACCGTGCATATAAAGTTCATGTGGGTGTTGTTTTCCTTCTCCTTTATTGAGATTCCATGCCAACATCTCAATGTCATTGTAAATAATAGCTAAGAATGGCTCCTCTGTCATCTTTGTTGACTAATACAAGTTTTCCCTTTCTTTTGCTTCAAAAACAAACAAACAAAATAAAATCTCTGATAGCGACTCACAATTTATCTGGTCAACTCCACAGAGTCTCAAATATGGTTCTGATGTTGGTGTGGTGGTTCCATGATGTAGCTATCGATCGATACATAGATCGATGTGCTCTCAAAGAACCCACTGAATCTATTGGAAAATGTCAATTTTATGTCTGAGAAAGAAATTTATTTGGAATCATTGGACACGAGAACACAGTTTGAAAATAACACATTTGTCATTATGAATTTTAATATTTAAATATTTTTTAAAATATTAAGATCTTCTGCCTATATTATTGTCATTAACATACATTAGTATGTTAATGAATAACAAATGTTACGTATTCAAGTTTTTAGATTTTTCGGATATATATATATATATATATATATATATATATATATATATATATATCCTCCAAATATTAAAGACTTTCATGGGTGTCACTACCATTAACATTCATCCAAACAGCCCAAGTAAAATAAGCGTCCAACAATACAATTAGGGCTCGAAGTGGTCCGATCCATGGCCCAATCCGTCGATGTGATTGGAGCCAAATTACAACGATTAGTCAAATCCCGATCTGGTTCGGTACAATGTGGTTCAACCGAACCCGTTTACTGGGTTCGGTCCAACCGATTCATTAAACCCGCCATCAACCACGCTTCCCCCATCCCCCCCCCAAAAGATAAAAAACGCCGCCCCAGCGCAACCCCTGGAACCCTAGATCAGCGATCCTCTCCCTGCGCGTGCAAAGGCGGTCGACGGTGCGCCTCTCTCTCTCTCTCTCTCTCTCTCACAAACACACACACACACACAGCTTCTTCTTCCGACCGCTTTGCTTCTTCCCCCGACAGCACCCCGCTGCTTCTGCCTCAGACAGCGTCCCCTTCTCTGCTTCCTTCTGAATTCAATAGTAAAATTAATTATTGCTGATAATAGTTAAATTTTGTTAACAATAGGTTTTGAATTTTTTAAAGAATGAAATTTGTCATTGCTAATTTCATTATTAGCAATTGGAATTCGATGTTTTGGTGGTGATATCTTGAATATGAAATGATATGGAATTCACATGTTATCTAATCTTTATTTTAATGATTATCTTCCTCCTTAATTCTATTTTTTTCTGATTGTTAGCCTCGGACGTTTTGGAACCTTGGCACCTTAGGCAACGCTGACCTTTGGTTTAAAGCCTAAGCTTATTAGGGAACTTCTAGTAATGTTCAATTTATTGGAAATATGATATTAGATACTTTACTTTTTATTGTATCGAGTTCCTTCTTTAGCTATTGAAGTTTTGAGAGACATTACTAACCAAGGTGCCTTACCTTATAAAGCTTTGGCCTCCAGCTCCTCTTTGCCTCTAAGCTACGCTGTTTATTTTGCTTACCTGAAATCCTTATTCAGCAAGATCTTCTTTGAGATAAGAGAGGAAGAAGAAGATGGTGGTCCGGATCCGGCTGTCAAGGTTTGGGTGCAAGAACAGGCCTTTCTATCGAGTTATGGCTGCCGACAGTCGCTCTAAAAGAGATGGGAGACATCTTGAGGTCTTGGGCTACTATAATCCTTTGCCAGGTATGCCTTATCCTTGTCCCAAAGTCCAATCTTTTGTCATGAATTTCCCATTTCATGATAAGTTTCGCTGTCTCCTCAAGCGTTATATGTTTCTCCTTCGTTTGACTTTGTTTGTGTTTATCTGGATACTGTTCTTAGCTTATCTACCATGCACTAAGACTTCTTTTTTAAAATTTTTGTCATTTGGATTTGTATGTTAACTTATTGGCTGGACGTTTCATTTGACAGGGCAGGATGGTGGCAAGCGAATGGGATTGAACTTTGACCGAGTGAAGTAAGTTAACCTTTGTTTATCCTAATGTGATAGATAATTTATTAAGATGGCTTGTTATCAAGATTTGTCCTTCATTTTCCCTTAAATTGATTTATATGCTCCTTTAAAAAAAAAAAACATTTGAAAGCTTCTGGGAAAAAAAAAGATAGTGTGCTTATAGAGTTTGTCAGTTTACTGTGTTATGTGAAATGTTTTGAGGTGGTCTTTTATGTGAATGAACTTAGCATCCATCGTTGGAGGGCTTATTGTCATTATTTGGATGATTGCATCTTCTTAAATGAGGCATAATGTTTGCAATGTGAAATTGCAATACGTTGTTGTTGCTATTTAAACATTGGTGCATGCACTAATCAGGATAATCAACATCTTAAATAATATAGATCTAGTGGACGGAAATGTATGCTTCCAAGAAAAATGTATTATTTTTAGTTAATTTATATAAGTTTTGGAATTAATCTAGAAAGAAGCAAGCGGTATTAAATATGAAGAATTATAAAGATTGTAAAACCCAATGCTTATGTAACCTCTGACTAAAATTTTCTATGCAGTCATAGAAGGTTCATATTCTGAATTTTAAGAATCTTTTAAGATCTAATTTTTATCTTTATCCTACCAATTTAGTTTGCAGTTACTTTCTCCTATAATAAATAAGGAAAGTCTTTGGTACAAAACCATGTAGTAATCACAAGCTGCAGGTTCAGCTGAGATACCTCATCCAATTCTTGAATCAATGGTATATACTACTAATCCTGTAATCAAATACCTCGTTTTCACATACTTTGATAATCAATTATTTTGATGGTCTTACTTTATAATGCCACATTCGTGAACACGAGATCTATTCTCTCCTTTTTTGGCTCACATGCATCACCTGAGCAACGGCTGAGATCACTAACCTCTAGTTTTTTCAGGGTAAAGTACATAGGTCCACCTTGGTCACTTGTTTTAATGACTGGTAAACTCATTTTCGAATTGACATGTTCGTGAACTGAATTTTGGATTAGTTATTTTTTCTTTTGCAAATTATCAATTATAGTAAATATGACTGCTTGTAGATTACAATACATTGCAACTTGTTATTTTTTGTAGAGATTTGTTTTTCATTTAGAACCGTGACAAACACATAGATAACTTCTGCAGTTCCAAGATTGATCATCATTGTATTCTGGATTTAATGCTATTAATTTTGTGAATAGCAAATTGTCTTTGTCAATTTTAAAGATCACAAAAATGAGGATTTGAGCTACTTCAAGATTATTTGTTCGATCTAATGCGGGACTGGTTCTCGTCAAATGTAAAGGTCCATATCTCAGTGCACTTTTGTTTGAGATAGAAAACAACACTTCTGAGACTAGGCAGGGGAAAACTTATTGTTGATATGGTGGATGGTGAAGTTTTTATGAGACTTACAATCTTGTTCTCGTGCACTGTTCATGTGAAGCTTACCTGGAAGTTTAATTGGACTAAGATGTGAGAGCCTTAAAACCCAGTGCTCCTGGATGAGCAATATCATGCTGTCAAGAATAAATCTAGTTCATTTCTTTCATTGGAAGAGAGAGCACTGGAAGTTATACAGAGCATAACTGTTTGGGACGTTGCCTGTAGTGTTTTGTGGCAGTCCTTAATGATCTTTGTGCAGAGAGGAATATCCGGATACGTTTAACACTCTACATACCTGCAGAGAGTTCTTTGCAGAAGCTAGAATAATCATATGTATTATAGATTCAAGCTGGGGGCCACTGATTGATACTATCTACAAGGTCAAAATGTTTCTGGTACCTTTTTGTACAATTTTGAATTAACAGAATGAGAACTATTGGTATTTAGACTGTTATAAAGAAAGTCTACCATCAATCTATAATAGTAGTGGAAATGTGATTTAGAGACCAGCATAGGGTGTGGAAGTAGATATTATTTTGGATGACTGATGAGTTTTAAGTATAATTTGCATCTCTCATTCAGATGAGTTTAGATAATGTTATATGTTATAAATTTGGAAGACTTGTAATTTAAAATTCCCAGGAACATATTCATTATTCTGATGAATTGTTTGAGATTTTTGATGTGAATCAGTCAAAATGTCTGCGTGAGGTTTATTCATATAATGGGATATGTAATGCCAAAGCTAGTGCTTTTTTTACTAGAAAAGTGGATCATAACTTCCTACTTATCCTCTCCGTTTTTGGTGGTTGTGTAGGTATTGGTTATCTGTTGGTGCACAACCATCAGATCCAGTCCAAAGAATCCTCTTTCGTGCAGGGCTCTTGCCACCTCCTCCGATGCTTGCATTGAGTCGTAAAGGCGGGCCACGCGACACCCGACCTATCGATCCAATGAGCGGCCGCTACTTGACTCCCAAAGATCCTGAAACTGATCTTCAACCAGAAGGCAGTGAGGACCAAGAGCGAGAAGCAGCCGATTAGGAAAGCCTATAGTTGATAGTAGTAAATTTGTGTTATGCTGTTTTGGAGTATGATGATCTTGATTATGGTGTCGTCGCTCTGTAGGTTGATATTATGTCATGTTCCTACTGTCTTCATAAACTCATTTTGGTTTACGGCTGGTAAGATGTGCCCACTGGTCTTCTGTAAAACATACTTGACATTAAGTTTGGAAGCTGAATGTGGTCTTGAAAAGTAACTCATGAAGCCTTGTGAGATCAAATTCCTTTCTTGATGACTTACCTATGCAACAGTGGACAATCATTTTTGAGCAGCTTTGTTCTGTCCTAGAAACAACTTTGCACCTATCATTTGTTTATGATGAAAAATCTAATACAAATTTGTGTTCCTTGTTGCCTAACGATGAGATATTCACCTGATTAGATTTTGTTCCTCTTCAGATCTGAAAGGATACCTTTTGCAGCGCAGTGAACAAAAAGAATCAGTGGGTTACTAGCACCTTTTTGGGGTTAGAACTTGATGCTTTGCCTCCAAATCCAAGTAGATTAAAGCGAATGTGCTCCTTTAACTTTCTTAAAGAATACTATTTGATAATGGAACTCTTTATAACCAAATCCATAGATGATCTAAAATATAGTGAGATTCAAATCCAAACACTGTTGGTAATAGATGTAATTTAATTTCGATTAACTAAAGGATACATATGGATAGCCCCATTCTTCTTTGTCTTCCAATGGTCCATAAGGTATTGCTTCCCAGTGAGGCCACCCAAATCAGGCAACATACTAAACTTTCACCCCCTATCATGTGCTAAACGATCACCTAAAGCAACCTCAAAAAGCCTTGGGGTGTCACCCTCCATTCCTCCTACCTTCAAACAACCTGCCTCGCAACGTTTAAAACTTCTTCCATCCCCCTCCCGATGCCTCCCCCTTTGCTTCTTCACCTCGTAGCACCAACCCATGGAAGCGTCGGCCACCTCCAACGTGTTGGCCTTTGTGCCAATATTAGCTCTTCTGTTCAGGATTTCGGATGGTTGCACCTTCACCGTATCCAACAACTGTCCCCACCCGATCTGGCCCGGGACGTTGGCCGGGGCCGGCACACCCCAGCTCCCGACGACCGGCTTCCGGCTCGATTCCGGGCAGACTGCTCGGATACGAGCCCCACCCGGGTGGTCAGGCCGGATATGGGCTCGAACAGGATGCAACTTCGACACCAACGGAGCCGGCACGTGCCAAACCGGAGACTGCGGCGGACGGATGGAGTGTGGAGGCATTGGGGCTCTACCGCCGGTGACATTGTTTGAGATCACCCTCGGCACAGGCCTGGACGAGGATTACTACGACGTGAGTCTCGTGGACGGATACAACTTGCCTGTCGTCGCGGCACCGAGGGTGCTACACGGAGGTTGTAACGCGACCGGATGTTTAGCAGATCTCAACCGTGGTAAAAAGCCAATGCTTATTTCCATTATCTTACAGTCGAAACCTGCAAGTGATCATCATATCAGAATCACGAAAGCACCACAAATTCAACTACAACAAAAAAAGCTACCACTAAGGCTAGATCGTAGCATATGGCATGAAAAGGAAGAAACTATGGTCCTAACAAAAAAGAGAGAATTTATGTGCATTCCTTCCTGTGCTCAGGTTGTCCCAAGGAGCTTCGGGTGGACGGTGGCGGTGGGGTGGTGGCATGCAGGAGTGCTTGTGAGGCATTCGGGCTGGATGAGTACTGCTGCAGCGGGGAGTATGCTAACCCCTCCTCCTGTAAACCATCTTTCTATTCAACCATCTTCAAGGCTGCCTGCCCAAGAGCATATAGCTACGCATTTGATGATGGCACAAGCACCTTCACCTGCAACGCCTATGATTACACCATTGTCTTCTGCGCCAATGTCAACAGGTCATCTCTCATCCAAGCAAAAACATGATCCAGTTTGTCAGTTGGGACTCTCCAAAGTTTGTCCCGATGATATATATATATATATATATATATATAGTAG